GCCTTTTGGTTTACACGCTCTCCGGATCACTCCCTATCCTCATGTTCGCAGCTGTGGGTCCTCTGATTCGCCGCAGATGTCCTGAGGGTTTCGTCTTCACGGAGTGGGTGAGACAGCGTTACGGCCCAGTGGCTTCGTTGTATCTCTCCTTTTTCACCTGTCTTACAATGTTCTTGTTCATGATTGGTGAATTGTCGGCTGTGAGAGGTGCCATCGAGACTCTTACTGGCCTTGATGCTCTTGGAGCAGTGATTGTCGAGTGTGTAGTCACGACAATCTACACCTCGTTCGGAGGATTCCGAGTGAGTTTTATCACTGACAATTTCCAGGGAGCCTTGGTAATTATTTTGGTCATTATTTGTGCCGCTGGTATGGGTTCCTATATCGACATTGACACCTCTGAGGTGGGACCTTCTGGATTATTGAAGGCCAACAAGTTGGGATGGCAGTTGGTGTGGATTTTGCCAGTTGCAATTTTCACCAACGACTGCTTCATGGCAGGGTTCTGGCTCAGAACTTTCGCCAGTAAAACCAACAAAGACTTGTGGATCGGCTGCTCTATCGCTTCGTTTGTGACATTCGTGATTTGCACCTTGGTTGGAACCACAGGTTTCTTGGCTGTCTGGTCCGGTGACCTCACTGTTGGAGACGACAACGGTTACAACGCATTCTTCATTTTATTAGCGAAGATGCCTGCCTGGCTTTCTGCTTTTGTTTTGATCTTTGTCATCTGTTTATCAACATGTACATTTGACTCGTTGCAGAGCGCCATGGTTTCCACCATTTCCAACGATGTTTTCAGAAACAAATTGAAGATGATCTGGGTTCGTGGATTGGTGGTTCTTGTTATGGTCCCAAGTATTGTGTTGGCCGTGAAAGTCGCTGATGATATTTTGCAAATCTACTTGATCGCCGATTTGGTTTCCGCAGCCATCATCCCCAGCATTTTCCTTGGTTTGAGTGATCGGGCATTCTGGTTCCTCAGAGGTATCGATGTCATGGTTGGCGGTCTTGGATCATTATTTGGCGTCTTCGTGTTTGGTTGGATTTACTACGACAGCGCCCAAGAAGGTGGAAAGCTCATGTTGATTTGGAACGGTCTCTACAACCCCGAGGACTGGGGTCCATTTGGTGCTTTCACCGTCACTTTCTGCGGCGGTGTCATTTTTGCTCTCATGTTCACCGCTGTCAGAATTGGTGCTCTTTATGTGTACGCGAAGGTCACCAAGACTGAGTTCACGGCATTGGAGAGGAAGGAGACGGTGTATGACGTTGAACCATCTCATGAAATCCCCTCAGCTGACGATTCTAGCATTAAAAAAGCATCCTTGCAAGATGCCTGAGACCACCTCAGTTTCTATAGACGATACAGCAACAGCCTAATTGATAATATACTTCGGATAAGTACCTTAAAACCAATGTAGCTGACTTTTGCAAAAAGCTTACAGAAAAATATGAATGATTCTGATGCTGCGACAGAGATCATAACTGATTGCCTCTTGAAGGCTTTTTACTTCCCATTTTTTTACACTCTTATCGATTTATTTGCATATTATGCTTCCCCGGTGTGATTGTTATGCATGCGCGTCAAAGCTGGTGTTGCATCGCGCCATCGTGGATCAAGCATATCAATAGTACTATCCACAGCTTTGTCGAATCATGACCACATCGGAGCCCGAAGAGAGCTTCGGGGACTCCGATACTGACACTCGTAAGCGGGCTTTCGAGGTGGACGTATGTATATTTCCAAATGGAAGCAAATGAAGACAAATACTAACATCTAGTCTGGTCAATCAGCCGAGCAATACATGTCTCAGCTTCTAGCGCTGAAACGCCGAAAATTAGGGGATGACGAGGAAACAAGTGATGATTCTGATGAAGAGGACGATGTTGGTCACAGAAACAAAGCTGGATACATCAAGAAGCTCACACTCAAAAACTTCATGTGCCATGATCATTTTGAATTGGACTTTGGCCCCCAAATGAACTTTATCATTGGAAGAAACGGCTCAGGAAAAAGTGCCATTCTTACTGGTATATCTGTTGGTCTTGGAGCTAAAGCCACAGATACCAACAGAGGCTCCTCGATCAAAAGTCTTATCAAAGACGGGAAGTCCACCGCACGAGTAATTGTTGAAATCGATAATGAGGGTTTGGACTCGTTTGAAAAAGATGTTTACGGCTCCAAAATCATAGTGGAGAGGAAGCTTCTGCGTGAAGGGTCCAACAATTATTATATTCGAAGTGAGAGTGGTGCAGTTGTGTCGACGAAAAAGAAGACTCTAGATGAGATTTTGCAAAAGTTTTTCATCGTTGTCAACAATCCTTTGTCATTTCTCTCACAGGATAAAGCTCGTGAATTCATCGCCAGCAGTACTGAACTGTCTCGTTTTACTCATTTTAGTGAGGGCACAAACATTCAATCGATTCTTCTGAATTACCAAGATGCATCCAAAAACATCATGAACCTCCAACACCGACTGAAGTCTGCAAAGCTGTTTTTTGATGATGCTTGTCAAAAGTATAAAGAATGTGAAAGAACTTATCAGAAGTATAAGCATTCGCACAACCTTCGTGAGCAGTCCGAAAGAATCAACGGAAAGATGTATTGGTTCAATGTCGAGGTGATGGAAAAGCGGATTGGCAAGAAGCACAAGGAGGTCGAGCAAAAACGTGAGGAAATCGACAAGATCGACAATGACATAGAAGATAAAGATGCCCAACTCACCCAGAGCGAGGAAAAACTATTGTCTCTCAAGAAGGAGCATGATTCAGTTTCTGAGTTGCAAGAGTTGAAGCTCGCAGAAGTTCGTCTGGCGGAAACTGCCGCAAGCGAAGCGACGAGGCAAACTCAACAGGTGAGGAATGATTTGACCACCTACAAAACAGAAGTTGACGATTTCAATAAGCAAATTCAAGACTTACAAAAACAAATAGATCAGGAGCAGCGAAAGATCGATGAGATAAATGGCGGTTCAAAGGATCAAATGAGAGAGCGACTCAGCGAGCTTCGTAAGAAGCAAGAGAAATTAGTTCAAGAAAAAGACGAGGCGCAAAGGGCAATCTCCAGCTTCGAGGAGGAAAGTCCCGAATTGCTCAGTGCCACACGAAAGCTTCAAGACCTTAAATATCAGAAGCAAGGTTTACAAGAACAAATTCGAAGCATAGAACGAACCAAGAACGACAAATATGCGGCATTCGGACTCACAATTCAGTCTTTGCTACGAGCAATAGATGAAGAGAATGGTTGGCATCAAAAACCAATTGGGCCTGTTGGCTGTTATGTGAGTGTGAAGGAGGAATATAGTCGTTGGGCTGACTTAATCAATGCTTTCTTGCAAAGAGCTCTTGATTCTTTCGTTGTCTGTGATGAACACGATAGAAGAATCCTAGCGAATCTCATGAGGAGCAGAAGAATACAAAAAGGTATTATTGTGAGAAGGTTCGAAAAGTTCAATTTCACCGCTGTCAGTGCTCCCGATGCTGTGACAGTGTTAGACACTCTCGAAATCCAGGTTCGTAATGTGTTGTACACTCTCATAGATTCCAGCAGTATTGAAGAGATGATAATCTGTGATACAATATCGAAAGCTGAAGATCTTACTCGAATTGCTGAGGTCAGGAGTGCCTTTTGTCTCAATGACAAGAAGTCAGGAATTCGTCTCGCAAGAGGAAAGGGCGGTGGTATTACTAGAGACCCTGTTTTTTACTCCAACGATTTACGAAAACTAGCAGGAAAGGCTTCCGACACCGGCTTAAGATCAGATTTGGAAGATGTTTTACAGGAGGAATCAAAGATTCAAAATGAGAGAAACAGGCTTCGCCATGAATGGAACCAAAGAAAAGTTGAGCTCCAGCGTATTTTCAACGATAAGCGTAAGGCTTTGAAAGAAGTGCAAAATCAAGTTTTCTCAACTGAACGGATACTTGCCGAGGAAGGTGACTTCGGCAGAATTGAGAGTTTGAAAGCTCAGATAGAGACTCTTCGGAGTCAAATAGCAACCAGAGAGGGAATGTTCGTTGAGGTTGCGGAGAATGGTAGAGAGGCCAAACGAGTTGAGAAAGCCAAACGCTCTGCATTAGAGCAGATTCAGAATGCTAAAAAGGAGATTGATGATGAAGTTACCACTATCGAGCAAAGGCTAGACACAGTGAAGCAGAGCATGGACAACTGGAATGCGGAGATAGATGCCAGCAGAATTAAAAAGGAACAGTTGATAGAGATGTTGACATCTATTGAGGCGAAATTGCTCGAAGATGAGGCAAAGCGTGATGAACTTTTCACAGAGGCTCAATCCAGGTGTACTCGAGATGAGGCAAACATCCTCGAAACAGACACGACAGAGTCAATCACCAATGAATATGCAAATATTCAACAGGCAATTGAAGAGGCTGAAAGAAGCAACAGCAAATCGTTTGAGCAGATCCTGGACGAACTTCTTGAGGCACGGGCTAATAAGAACAAGTGTGAGAGCAGTCTCTCTGATTTGGAAAGTGCTAGAATCAACCTTGAGAATGACTTGAACTCGAGATTTGAAAATCTCAACATAACTATTAAGGAGAAACTCACTCGAGCGAAACTGTCCTTTGAACACTGTCTCGCATTGAGAGGATTCAAAGGTAAACTCGAGTTCGATTTCGCCAAAAAGAGAGTCATCACTGAAGTTCAAACCAAGGACGACAAGCAGAGTAGGGCGGTTCAGTCCTTATCAGGAGGAGAGAAATCTTTCACGCAGATAGCCTTTCTACTAAGCATATGGAAGGTGATGAAACCTAGAGTGTGTGGTCTAGACGAGTTTGACGTCTTCATGGACTCGGTGAATCGTACAATCGCAATCAGGCTTTTGATCCACGAGCTTCGGTCGTCAAACGCACAATCGATTTTCATTACACCGCAGGATATCACAGCAGTTGGGGATTTGCAAGACAGCGAGGATGTCAGGATACACCAAATAAGGCCCCCAAGACAAGAATGATCATTTCGTTATTAAAAAGGTTATTTACAAGGATATATGCATGGTTGGAGATGCTCTTGACAAAAGACTGTCCCCAACGTTAAGCTCAACAAGCTTGTTGTAGTCACTTTGATGTAATGAAAATTGGAAAGGCTTTTTCTCAAATGCTTTGCAATCGGCCGCCCATTCGAATAAAAATAGGCGAACCTCTTGTCTCATAGTCGTTGGACACGCTAGCAAAGCTTGAAGACAGGCAACACGGCATTCGTATGTCCATCCCCGGTCCATAGTCTCTCGACAGGTAGTACGGCAAGAGCTTAGTATGTCACTTATTTGCCTTACCTCGCTTGAAGGACAATTTGATGTCGAGAATTTTTTCTTCATCGCTCTGAATAAGATGGTGAAAACCTCACCTCCTCTGAATAAAACTTTGGCATGTAATCGAGGATAGGAAGCTTTTGTTCTCCTGAGAACAGCCCAAGCCTCGAAAAGATAGCCATCGTTGCAGAGAGAAGCAATCACTGGAGTGAGTAATGCATGGTGGTTTGAAGTGATGAAGTTAACAAGTCTTTCGATTGCCGAGCTACGATCGGCCATTATCAGTGACATGTTTCGCAGAATCAAAGCGTTGATATAAGGTGTGTCCGCAAGTTCAATGACACCATCAAAGATTGCGTTATATCTTTTTCCGGGTAGACTGTACTTGTTGTACACAATAGAAGGATCGTTGGCAGGGTCATCACTTGCCAATATTCTCTTCTGCCGCTCTTTCAGATTAAGCTCCACAGCGTATTTCAAGTTATGCTCGACGGTACTGCCTTTTTGCAAAGGACTATATCCTCTGTGTTGCCAGGCCAATTTAACAAATTCTGCTATCGCCAGGGACGTTTCACCGGCACAAGCATGAGCCTCCACCTTAGCTAAAGCGATAGTTCTGTAAATTGTGCGATGCCAGAAGTAAGAATAGTACCTTTTGAAGTAGCTTTGGATACCAGAGACAGCCACATTGTTTCCATTATGCATTAGCACGATAGAAAGTTGTGCCAAAATGTCAGGAAATAGAAGAAATGGTATGAGTGGGTTGTTCGTTCCCTTGAACTTTGGATCTTCATATGCAGCGATGGGGTCAATGACTTCATGATAAATCAAACATGCAGCTGAATAGTGGCCTAGTTCGCAAGCTTTTGAAGCAAGAGCAGACCATGTTTGGTTGGATATGCAATAGGATGTGCTGTCGGAATCGAGAAGAATATGAATCAACGAGACTGCTGCATTGAGATTCTCTTCAGCAAGAAGGTTTCCAATGTACCGTTCCACTAATTTAGAGCTGAGAAGTCCTTGGTTCTTCTGAGACAAATGCTCGGTGATGTGGGCAAAAACGGGCATGCTTTCGCCCCTTTGAAGGAGATGCAGTAGCTCTATATTCGAACGCAATGAAGGATGTAGCTTCAGCAACTCAACTTGTTCTTTTTGGCGTTTCAGAAGCTTTTCAAAATCATCTAGGAATTCACGGACACCAAGTTGTGAAAACGGGTCTCGGCCTCGTTGAGAGAGCCAAAGCAGGGGAATGAACTCGACGGTTGAATGACGCCGTAGGAAAGGCAATCTTAATAACGGTAGCATCGAATTGTCTTCATCTATCAGAACTCAACCGTTTTATGTCTTACTCTTCATAGCACGTTGTGTACACCACCTTGAGAAAAAATGTCTGGAAATCTAGTTTTTCACATACACTTCTTATCCGCACATCTCCCCTTCAACATTCGATGTTAGGAAGCATAGCTCTCAAAGCTGGTCCTACCAGATCCCTCTTGAGGGCTTCTGTTGGTCTCAAGTCTCTCACCAACCCAAAGCATGTCGCCCTGATGAGCGCTATCGCCGTGCTTAAACCATCCATACAAAGATCATCTATCAGATTCAGTTCACAGAGCACGAACTCTGTTTCATCGGAGGCTTCCAGCGTGGTCTCTAGCATTCAAGACAAGTTGCCCGCCTTCGACTCATCGGCCGTTCTGGAAGCGACCAACATGACATCGGACCAGTTGGGATACTTGAATTCGATTGGAATGGCACAAGGCTGGGGAGTCACAGCGTGGATGGAGACCCTTCTTGAAAATGTCCATGTGTACACTGGACTTCCATGGTGGGGAACGATTGTAACTACCGCCCTTCTTATCAGGGCTGTTCTTTTCCCACTTTACGTCAAGGCTGCCGTCAATAACGCTAGATTGGCTGCCATTCAACCAGAAATGTCAAAAATCATGGACCGTCTCAAGACCGAGCCTGAGAACACCGCACAGATCACAAGAGAAAGAGCTTTGCTTTTCCAGAAGAATGACGTTTCTGTGTTCAAGTCACTCTACGGTATGGCCCAGCTTCCATTTGCCTACGGTGTTTTCCAGGGCCTTAGAAAGATGGCTGCTCATCCAGTCGAGGGTTTCTCAACCCAAGGTGCTCTCTGGTTTCACGACTTGACTCAGGTTGACCCATACTTGGGTTTGCAGGGTTTGTCTGCCCTTCTTGTTGTGGGTTTGATTAGATTGGGAGGTGACGCAGGTACCAACATGAACCAGATGGTGAAGAAGTATTTTTACGTTTTCCCAGCCATGGCCTTTGTGTTCACCATGAACTGTTCTGCTGCAGTCGCTTTGTACATTTCCGTGGGTACTTTCTTCTCTGTTTTGCAAGGTCAGTTGTTCAAGAGTCAGGCGTTCAAGAATTATTACAACCTTCCAAAACCTCCTAAGCAGGATCTTCTGAAGCAGCCTGCTAACCTCAGTGAGTGGTTCCAGCAAATGGCAGAAAAGCAGAGAGACTCCACAAGAGCCAAGTTGGAACAAGCTAACAAGAAGTACGAGGCACAATCAAGACATCGTCTTCACGGCAAGGATGGTTTCGTTAAGAGACATTAGATTCACTATAAATACTGGAATATACTTGTAGATAGTCATTCCGCCAGTAGGCAATATCTGTTCCCCAAATCATATTTAGTTGCATCAATTTTCCTCGCTGGAGTGGTTAAAAATTGCATCCCAATTATCAATGAGCTTTTCTAAGACAAAGTTGATGAATCCGAAGTTGCTAACAAGCGCTTCTGCGGAACTTGCCTCTGTCAAAGCTGGTCCTATCACTGTTGCTAAGTTCGAGGCTGTCATTTTGTTGTGTTCACTTTGACTTGCGACCCGGCTAAGGTGACGAATCAAGCTTCTGAGAGTATAGAAGTTGTGACGAGGTAACTTCTTCAAGACAAATGAGTATGGCTCTGCGAAAAAGCCATTCTCCGTCATTGCTTCTGAGAGCAACTCGTTGTCTGCCTTGAGTTGAAACAATTCTCTGATCACATCATCAGTCAAAATTGCATCGGGTAACTCTCTGAAGTACAGCTTGACGCAACTAGTGAGGGCATGTACATCAATATGTCTAGCCTGGAGGTCAACGGTACCGGTTCTGTCGATCTCTTGCTTCAAGGCGGAGAGTTCCGAAATGGAGGTACTGATACGATAAATACCAACATCATGAAGTCCCTCAGTCTCGATTGCTTCATAAATTAAGTCAAGGAAAAGTGGGGATTTGGATCTGTCCCTCGAGCATATCGTTTCAAGGGGCAAGCTGAACGTGGTCATGGAGGAGGTACATTTGTAGTTAAGTAACCTCGAATGGAACCAATGTCTGTTTGCGAACGCCAACTTGTTTGACCAATCCCTCATCTCTTCCTCATCAGGAGTTCTGAGGTAAAGAACATCGCCACTATCCGAGTCAACCTTAAGACAGTTAGGGAGGAGGTAAACAGGGAAGATCTTGTAATCTTTTAGAAGCATGGAGTGCAATGGCTTAGACTTTGCATCCACAACTGAGCTTGGATCAGGCAACTCCCGATAGTCGACCACCTTTTCACCTCCAGCACTGTTGAGTCTGTTAAATAAACCGCTTATCTTGAACCTTGAAGAAGCATTCGTCTTGTAGTTCAATGATTGACGTCTTAAACTGCTTGCCAGTTTCTTGGTCCGGGGATTTTGATCGCCTGACAGACTCTTCACGATCCTACCATCGGTTTTGGCTAACTCAGCTTCATTTATCAGTTGTTGAAGCTTCAAAATCGGACCGAAGACGTCCCATTTGTGACGGTCACCTGGAATAATATCAGCGATCTTGATAGACTGGCAAAGCGACTCATCGAGTTTCAACAAGAAGTCAAACTCACCAGCTTCGAGATGGGTGTCATCCATGTCTTCGACGCTGAGCTCCTTGATCAACTTGTAAATGAGGTATCTCTTATTGAAGTTGATACTCGTGTTGTGGAAGTTTGGACATTTGTTGACCTCAAGGAGAAGCTCGAAAATCCATCCAAAGCAAGGCAAAAGAGGTTCTTGTACCATAAGCATATCACTGCTCTTGATACCACGCGGAAGTAGGTCGTTGATATCTTTGAAGACTCCATGAGATGCACTCTCAGAAATGCCAGCATTGAGCGAGTTTGACGCCTTGGCCCAAAGTGGTCCCAACTGGCGGCTTGCTGGGTGATAGATGACGTTGACGATTGCACTCTCGATACATGAGGGGATACTACCAGAGTCGCCCTCAAATACAAATTGACTCTCGCCCATCTTCAACTGAGAAAGTTTAACCATAATCAACAATGTCTTCATCCGATCCAATCTCTCCTCAAGAGCTATGTTGGGGTCACAAAGCTGTATGTAAAGATAACACTTAAACTTGTGGTACAATCTGAAAAGCTTGCGGAAGACTATAGGGAACTTGCTCATCAATATCTCGTTATCCGCACCATCTCTCAAGCTATCAAAATAGCTAAAAATATTAGAAACATAAATCTGCTCTTCTGCTGAGCTCTTGGGAATTGAGTAATTCAAAAGAGAGTAGTTCTCAAATTGATTCTCGAGGATATTGAAAGCCCTGAACCAATCTTCCGGCTTTATACCTTTATAAAAAAGGGTAAGAAGCTTGTTGAATTTGTGGATAAACTTCTCGATCTTGTGCACGTTTTTATGACTTGGAAGATTACGATTCATCGGAACGTCGTGAAGGACATTCGAGAACCTAAATTCGTGCGTCAAGAACTCATCAAACTTCAGAACTTCCACAGGTCTGTAAGTTTTCTTCACAAACATCTTCTTGAGCTTCTTGTAGTAGTTAACTAACTCTTCAAAATATTTGTCCAATTGTTTGTCAATCTTGTTTGAGTTGTACCACTGCAATATCTCGTTAGTGTAAAGCTTGAAGAATTTGATCATAGTCCTCTTGTTTGTCAAGTCGTGGGCAAAATTTGCATAAAAGTTATTGAGAAGCACTAAAAGGGCTTTCAAAATATTCACTTGAATTTTGAGGAGGAGCTCGTAGTCAACATCACCCAATTCAGCCAATTTCACATCTTCATCAACATTCCAGTTGGGGAACTTCCCAAAGGTGACTGGATTATATTCGCCTTTCCTAATGAGGTGCTGCTTTTTCATGATGGAAATAACAGCATTACCCGAATGAACAAATCTGTGCGCCAAGTTGTCAAGGAGGTCTTTTGTAGACATAAACGAGCTGTAGTTCAACAAGAACACGAAACGAAATTCGCTCAACTCAATTGGGTATCTCTCATCAAAATAGACAGAATCAATTAGCATCAAATCGATTAAAGTGTCAACAGGTGCAAATCGAGGAATGTATTTCGTGGATCTCAGTTGGCTTGCCCTGTTGTTGGAGTAGTTCGAGACTAGACCGAAACTGCGATGCCTCTTTTCCTTCGCTGAAGCCGGTTGCTCCTCACGATGATCTTCTTGAAGGGAGAGGTTTTTGAACTTCTCCGAATTTAAGATGTCATCGACATCGATACCGAGTCCTTCATCCTCTGTCTCTAATTTGTCCTCTTCCGTTCTATCTGCAGATGAAACTGACGATACAAGATCGAAATCAGCCACAAAATCGTCAACTCTGAGGGTCAAGTCGTTATTGATGACAATTCTGTGGTTCCCATCGATTGGACTGTCCGGGAGTCCTGGTTGGCTTGCAACAAGGTCATCATAGTTCAGTAAATCAATCTTGAAGTGATTGTTGTTGAATGCTGGTAACTTCTCTTCTGCTGAAGTCTCCTTTATGGTTCCACCGAATGGTGACATGGTCTCGTGTTCAGGTAAATCGGCGTTTGGGTAGCCTGCCGAGATTCCGGACGAGGAAGATGTAACTGAAAGATTTGAAGAACTCAAATTCATATGCTGAAGCTTTTGAACAGAGCCGTGAGAGGTCTGCTCGGCTTCGGATTGCCTAAGGTACTTCTCAGGAAGGTTGGGTTCCATTTTCAATGAGCTGCTCATGATGTTTGAGAGCCCGGTAGGATCTTCGTTGAGCTCAAGCAAACGCAAAAGAACTTTTCGTAGCTTTTCTTTCGTATGAGTCGAAAACGTGTCCGAAGATTTGATTTCAGAAGGAGATGTCACAGGCACAGATGATGGTATACTCTTTTCCTCCTTATTAGCTCCTAGATAAAGCACTTGATTGAGACTCTCATTTGAAACGATAAAACCCATGGAGTTGTACCTGCGAAGAACGTCTTGGTTGTAATTGATGATGTCCGCCAGATTTGTGAGATTCTTCAAGTAGTCGTTCCACCTATCAAAGGA